TTATTGGGGTCGCTTAAACCCGCGGACATGAAAAACAACCCGCGGCAACAGTGTTAAAGTAGCCTAATTCTGCAGGAAAACCACGGACTTGGCAACACTGATCATACTCAAAAAGACTTGAGGCTGTAATTGGTGCCAAAGGTGCTTCAACAAAGTATTGAGCGAATACTTATGTACATGTGAATTTTTTTTTTCCTTTTTTTTTTTTTACTAAAAAATTTGCAAAGATTTCAAACGAGCTTCTTTCACATTGTCATTATGGGGTACTGTTTGTAGAATTGAGGAAAATACTCAATTTAATCCATTTTGGAATAAGGCTGTAACATAACAAAAAGTGAGGCGCTGTGAATACTTTTCAGATGCACTGTATATAAGTAACTTTGTTCACTGAGGGGGAAAAAAGTTTCTATTTCCAGTTCTAAAGAAATAGTAGTTTTGTATGTTTATTCACAGGAGATGAAGACTCCAGTCACATGAGTAGCTGTTTATTGTACAAGTGGCATGTCGCCCCCTCATGGTGGCTGCCATGTTGAGATCACATGACCACACAAATACTACTTGATTCCCATTTACAGACACTTTTGGTTGCAGAATAAATTAATAAAAAATAATCAAAAAACTTGTCTGTGACTATAGCATAACTTAATGCAGGCATCAGTGACTGCAAACATATGCTCGAAACTGCATCCACGTCAACAGATTGCAATATACAATACCACTGTCGAATCAACAAGTGAAAAAAAATAAAACTTTTTTCATACCAAATTATTAATATATACTTTTTAAATAATTCATTACAAATTAATTAGACTGAGGATACACTATTTCTCTATAAAACAGTTTTTTTTTAACTAGCTGTGTAAAACATATTTAGACTTAATAACGACCAACTGATGTCATGAATATTTTCGCTCACACTTTATCACACTGGCTATGATTGGAATAGCATAGCATATAGCATGTTCAGCATAATATGAACATATACTGAGCCAACTATGCACATTTTCTGTATGTATACCTGTCTTGGAATAAAAAAAATAAGCATATATTTCACTGAGGTAATAGACTCCATTGATATACTTAAACTGAGACAAGAATACTAAAATTGAACAATCAGTATCATTGCCTACTGCATACTGTATGGCGTTGAAAAAAATAGCGTATCAGTATCCTGTTCTATCAATTCCAGTTATGTATTATGCATTAAACACACGATAATGTGAATCTATTTAGGGTTTTCTATATATTTAGGGTTGGAGGAAGCGCATGCAGTATTACCTGCAGCTTCCACTATGACCAGCAGATATCGCTAGAGACTTCACCAACTCTCCATCGATCTCTCTTCTTCATTTTTAGTCCCTGAAGAGAAGCATCAAACCGGAGGTTAAAAACACAAACTATGCTCCAAGCGTAAGGTGAGTGATTAAGTCATATTTCAACCAACAGATGCTTTCAAGACAGGCTACAAACACTTCTCCAGTTATTCGACAAACACGAGCCTCGCCTTCAACTGACGCAGACTGCCAAGCGGTCTGATTGGTTAATACACGCGGTCAGACTCAATATTTCTTAAATAATATATAACTTGTTAAACCAGTAAAGGGTTCTGATAATACATACATACACCTAATTTTGAATACACATTTATCCATTGCATAAATACATTTGAAGAGTTAATTTGCAAAATCCTCTAAGAGGAGTTTAAAATGTTCTTCTAAAATTAGCATTTTTATCAGGCTCCTATGTGTAGGTTCAGTCATTTCACTTTAATGGCAATGAATAGGTTCTTTTCATTGCCATTAAAGTGAAATAACTGAACATAAACAGAAGCCTGAGAAAAATGCTAATTTTAGAAGAAAATGTCAGACAGCACTTAAAGGCTTTTGCATCTGAACTCTTCATTTGTACATTTTTAGGGCATAATAAATTAATTTCCATGACACATTTGATGACAGTGATGTAAAATTACCACAGGTAATCTTTCTTTTAGTAACAGTTTTGGTGAAATTTGGCATGGGTCGTTAACTAAGGTATACTTTTCATACTATGGTGTAGCCTATAAATCAGGGCCATATATCTAGTTCAGACTCTTTGATATGTTTGTCTTGGATTTGTTTCGACCCCATGACTTGTTAGCAATGCTGCCATTTGAAACGGATAGTGACATAATCATTGCAAGTACAGCTTTTTGTTTCTTAAGCATTCTTGATATTAACATTACCTTTAAAATAGTTTTAAAAGTAAAATACTAATAGGAACACAATGGAAACTAAACTGCATAAACCTCAAAAATGACAAAACTAGAGGATTTGTATATGCAATATGAATATATGATTAAAAAATGCCATAATGCAGATAAAAACAAAAACTGTCTAGTCGTCATATCAGTGTCCGTTTCATACTTAAGATGTTAACAGAGGTAGGCTACATAACTGCCTAGTTTAGTCATACATGCCTTAAGATCCTGGACAAATGCATCTTTTTCACTTTATAAATAACAGTGCAGCCAAACAATCAGTTGTCACAGCACATATATTATCCCTCTTATTTTGTAAGAAAATTGATGCTTGCATACATAAATTTTGAGCAAATGCAAACCAAGTGAAATCATAGCCCAAATAAGCTCCTCACAGTGGGATTCGGTTTCTAAGTGTCAAATCATCACTTCATAAGTCATTGAGCAACATACGAGCCGTACTGAAAAGGACCACGTTTATTTCATAATTCATAACTATTAAAAATCGTATTATATATTAAACTTAAAGTAACTGTCACAATGGCACGTTAAGTAATGCCATTAAGCTTTACAATATCAGATCACTTCAAATCCAAACGTACATTTGAAATGCACACATTTCCATGACATTTACAATTGCAATAATAAAGGACTTTTATTATTGCAAAATTAGTATATCGTCACAGGCCTAACTACTACTACTGCAAACAATTTGACAGTTTATAAATAAAGTTGCGTAGATTACATGTAAATTTTGCTATTCTCAATAGTGTTAAATAGATTAATAGTGGAATTACAGGTTTAATCTGGAAAGCAGGTGTTCGCAGTTAGATCCAGTAAAGAAAGAGTGCGTTAAATCCTTCAGATCCAAGGTAAGATTGAGGGGAGTCAAACGAGAGGTGCTCACCACCCATAGAAGAGGCGGCGAGCAGGATTCACATGCTGTTGACAGGCAATGCGGGTTTTTAATGTGCATTCTTTGATGGCTCAGCAAAACCTCAGATATCTCTTTAAGGAACACTGCTGTGTTGCTAAGACCAGTGGATCAGAGCACACATCTGAAATTCACACCACAAATACTTTCCATGTTCCCTTCTTAAAAATAACTTAACCTTTAAAGATGTCTTTCTTATTATTTGCTTATTTATTTATTTAATTGGTGTTTTTAGAGACATCTGCTAGTTGTGGTGCCTACTTAAAGTTATTAAACTAAAAAGAGAGACATATACAGTTTTAAAATGAAGAAATACACCAGCAAATATAGGAAGATGTTGTGGGTCATGACTTTACTCACCCAATGATCCATCAAGACATATACTGGACATCATTCTGCAAGAATTATAAAATATTCTAATTATATTTTAACCTCATGCTGAATATTAACCTTATAAAGACAAGAAAATGAGTAATCTTACCTTGAAGATAAAACGAGCAGTACTTGGTTTAGATTTGATGTTACACTGAATTATAAAAAATGTGTAAAGTCAAAATGAAACCTTGTTTGTAACCCAGTTCACTTTCATAATAGTGGCGGATTTCAGAGGGAAATGGGATATTCCATGTGAAAAAAATGTAGGGTGGGTCTGTGAGATATAAAAAGTTGTATCAGGTGGTTTGTGGGACTGAAAAATAAGACGTCAACCGAAAAGGAAAGTCATTTTAACATCGACAAATTGATCACAATAAGACCAAGAATGTCTATAAAGAACGTAAATAGGGTTGATTTTGATTCCTTGTTCACTTTAAGCAATTCAAATAAATAAATAAAAATACAACAAGGTAAAGGTTACAATTATAGGTAAAAAGATGATAAAATAAAGAAAACCTTTTTAAAAAAGCAGGAAGCAACAATTATTACAGTTGGGTTATTTATTTAGGAAAAAAAACATATTTTTGGCAAACAGTCAATCTGTATAGAATTACAAATTTATGCTTGCATACATAAATTTTGAGCAAATGCAAACCAAGTGAAATCATAGCCCAAATAAGCTCCTCACAGTGGGATTCGGTTTCTAAGTGTCAAATCATCACTTCATAAGTCATTGAGCAACATACGAGCCGTACTGAAAAGGACCACGTTTATTTCATAATTCATAACTATTAAAAATCGTATTATATATTACACTTAAAGTAACTGTCACAATGGCACGTTAAGTAATGCCATTAAGCTTTACAATATCAGATCACTTCAAATCCAAACGTACATTTGAAATGCACACATTTCCATGACATTTACAATTGCAATAATAAAGGACTTTTATTATTGCAAAATTAGTATATCGTGACAGGCCTAACTACTACTAAGTAGAGCAGCTGATGATATACTGAAACATAAATTTTGAGCAAATGCAAACCAAGTGAAATCATAGCCCAAATAAGCTCCTCACAGTGGGATTCGGTTTCTAAGTGTCAAATCATCACTTCATAAGTCATTGAGCAACATACGAGCCGGACTGAAAAGGACCACGTTTATTTCATAATTCATAACTATTAAAAATCGTATTATATATTAAACTTAAAGTAACTGTCACAATGGCACGTTAAGTAATGCCATTAAGCTTTACAATATCAGATCACTTAAAATCCAAACGCACATTTGAAATGCACACATTTCCATGACATTTACAATTGCAATAATAAAGGACTTTTATTATTGCAAAATTAGTATATCGTCACAGGCCTAACTACTACTACTGCAAACAATTTGACAGTTTATAAATAAAGTTGCGTAGATTACATGTAAATTTTGAATTTCTTGACCTTATCATGTAAAAATGTGGTCATCTGTTGTACGCACCTCCTCTTTGACCTCCTTCTTGACTTGTTTGAGGTTGGCTCTCAGGTCCATGGAGACCTTGTGCTTGGATCCCAACAGAGCTTGAAGCATAGCGTCAGCAGACATGCGCACTTTCTTCAAAGGAGGCTTCTTGAACTTACCCTTCAGGTCGACGATCTTGATGTTTAAGTCTTTAACCTAAAACACACAAAAAAGAATCTAAAGAGCACCTTGTTCATGGACCACATAGAAGGAGATACATGTGAAACATCTTACCTCATTGACAACCATGATGGCTTTGTGCTCTAAAATATATCTCTCCTCATCAACAGCTTCGATTTTTGCATGTAACTCTTTGCAGAGCTCCTGTTGAAAGAATTTCATGCTTTAGCTTTGAATTTCCAAACATTTCCAACTTCTAGTTGTAGTAATATTTGAATTGGACCTGTAGTTCTTGTTTGGAGCTTGGGTTTGACAACGTAGGGCAATGTTCTTCCATGTATCGCTTCCTCTCCTCTTTCTTCTCAATCTCCTCTGCATCCAGTAACTCTTTTGCAACCTGGAGCATCAAGCCCTACAAGCAAATGTGACTCATTAAGACTCATTATTCTTTTACTTTTATATATAACTGTTTGATGTTGGTTTGGTTCAATAAGGCATGAGCTCTTACCTTCAGGCTGTGTTTTTTACTGCTAGACATTCGTTTTCTAATCAAGAGGAGAAATAAGGACAAACTTTACATTAGGATATTGATTTCTCTGTTGTGCTACCATAGTTAGATTGTACTTTGTTAGGACTGATCTACAGTATTTACAGTGTTTGTAAGGCAGCACAGCACTAATATTCCTCAAGCATTCTGGTTAGTGTTTGTTTTCAACCATGAAACAAACGTTTTAAACGTATGCAGCAAATTCAGCCCAAACTGCTTAAAATACAGAATCTTTCTTGCTTCCATTTTACTATATAGTCATCCAGTCGTATTATGCTGTGTTGATTATTATACATAGTGTTATGTAAAAAAAAAAAAAAAAAGTCACACTGAGTGATGGAATGGCATACTTACTCAGACATTTCCAAGAGTTTATTCGCACCTTTTTGATAGAAAGAAAAAAGAGAAATGCATCAGAGCTATGGAACAGTGAGTTATGCATACTTTCAAAATATATCAGAGCCCTCTCCCTACACTGCTGTCTGAACTCTACTGTACAATAAAGTAAAGCAGTGGAGCTCAAAAAATAAAATAACCAATAGATGATCTAAAGCAGTGGTTCCCAACCCTGGTCCCTGAGGCACCCCAACACTGCATGTTTTGCATGTCTCTTTTCTCTGACACACCAATTTCAAATCTTGGAGTCTCTACTAATGAGCTGATGACCTGAATCAGGTGTGTTTGATTAAGGAGACATACAAAACGTGCAGTGTTGGGGTGCCTCCAGGACCAGGGTTGGGAACCACTGATCTAGAGGACCATCCATTTTGGGTGAAAAGCACTATGCATGTGAACACAAATGCTTCTAGGTACACAAGCATAACGTAGTTTCAAAATATGTCAGAATGCAATGCATAATGCATTCTCAGCATTGCCACAAGGGGCACTATAGTGTGCATTAGCACAAATTGTCTTTTACAGTCAGTTATACTGTTGTCATGATGGAGCAGCATTTTGGAGAGAATCTTGCTGAGAAAGTTAAATTACTTCTGAATAATAAAAGTACACCCTCCTTGAGTACTGAAGTTTTTTACCATCAAATTGCGTACTTCAGTGTGTATTTTTCTAGGGTATGTTTTCTGGCCTGTCAGCAAGTTATAAACCACAATTTTCACTGTACAACAACTTTGGTGAAGAATCCAGTGGTGGTAGGCCAAGGTTTGTTTTTTACAGAGTTTGAATCTACAACCTTATAGAGTATTCACACCTGTCTTAAAGGGTTAGTTCACCCAAAAATGAAAATTAGGCTGCGTTTGAATGGATGAACCAATGAATGGATGACCTTAGCAAACGTGTGATTTTGTTTACAATATCTGGTTCACTTGTGGAAAAGGGCAGTGTGAAAGCGAACCACACCAAAAAAAATAATAAAATCAACATTGTATTTGGTCCGGACCAAAGCAAGTGAACTAGTGGACTTTCCTGGTGTTAATACACCCTTAGGTATTTTTAGGTATTACAGTAACGGTACATATTAATACCTAAAGGGTGCATATTATAACTAAATGTTACATAATTATTTTGCACCAGGGAGTTATAGGAACTCTGTTATAGGAACTAGCCACCAGGGAGGTCCACTGAGAACTAAATTTTCCCATTGGGCCATTTATGGCATTTGCACCACCAGAAGGAAGTGACGTATAAGCCAGCCAGCAGTGATGTCAATCAAGCGTGGTATTCAACAATGTCAACAGTTTTAAGATGGGCAGTGTTGGGGAGTAACTAGTTACATGTAACAGTGTAACATAATTTTATTACAAAATAAATGCAGCTGTAATCCATTACAGTTACTGAGAAAAAAATGTGTAATTAAATTAGTTACTTATTAAAATGTTAACGATTACAAAGGGGGATACATCTGAATATTTTCTGCAAAAAGCTTGGATATGTTGACTAATATAAATGTGTTGCTTTGTCTGTTTTTGATATGCAGAATGCCTCCTGTCCTTTAAAGGCTGTTTAGTAAAGCGATGCTATTCTGATTCTTTTCTTTGAATTTGCAGCGCACCACATTGCCGCTGAAAGCTTTAGGCTACAACCTGTCTGAGAGTTGCCACAATGGCGAGTGATAAAAATGCATTCCGGTGCTAGAAATTTAAAAAGCAAAAATCAGAACGATCTCAAAGTAAAAAGAGGTGCTAAAGTCCGATTGTGTGGTGACTGTGCTTTAACTTATTATATTATTATAATCTTAATTCAAGTGATGAAGGATTTTGAAAGTTTCACAGTAATTAGTGTTGAGTACTACTAGCATTTGTTAGAAATTTTTGAAAAACAATCAAATGTAATCAGTTACGTTAATTCAATTTGAATAAAACACTACTTGTTACTTTTTGAATAGGGTAACTTGTTATCTGTAACCTATTACATTTCCAAACTAACCTTCCCAACACTGAGGATAGAGCATGGAAAAGTGTCTGGAATTCGGAATCAGTAGTTCCTATTGTGCTAGGTTACACCCTACTCTGAAATAGGAGCTAATTTAGTCCCCCAAAAAGGTGTTACTACAGCTAAAATCGTTCCCAGTTCATGTGGTGTGCAACACACCAAAAAGCAGGTACTTCCACCTACAGTTATAGGAACTATGAAAACGTTCCTCTGGTGCAGCCCTTTTGAAAGGGTACCACCCAGTGTCAGCTTTTGTACCTTTTTTCTGAGAGTGTAACCATTGCATGTGGACACAATCCAATGGCACCAAATCCATAGACATTCTGATCGTGTGACCTTTTCGCATCGCCCTTAATGTCAAGAGTTGTGTAAACTAAAGAAGACCACATGGTTCCCAAGCGTCTTTGACTCATCCGAGAGGATTTTCGCCAGGAGCTCGATGCAATATGATCTCAAGGCCAGTACATCAGCTGCAGACACAGCCCCATCCTCAAGCGCATCTCTGAGATGTCAAAGATATGACAACACAGCTCTCCTTTATTCCCCGCTAAACAACCGTCTCAAATGTCTTTCTTAATATACTCCAGCTCTGAGAGACAGACCGGACTAACTGGCTAACTGATGACAAACTGATTGACTAATTTAGTACACTTAAATGGACTCTTAATGCTTCAATGACATACTTAGAAAGCTGTGAAGACAACAGTCAGGTCACATAAGGCTATTTGAAGAAGGACTATTCTAAGTAGCCATGGAAGAAGATTGAGGACGTGTTTAGCAGAAAACACATGGCGGAATAGATCAAGTAGTACAGTGGTCTTCCTGTGTGAAGGTTTGGTAAAAGAGCAACTTAAGAACTCTTAAAAGTCAAGACCAATTAGGTCTCTGAGGAAATATATGCATATTCCAGATATTCCAGAAGGTTAAGCCATTTCAGATCATTACACAAGATGTAAAAGATGAACAAGAAGGTTTTTGTGAATATACAGCATTGTCTTTCGGGTTAAAAAGTACTGCAAATCAGTTTTATATGAGACAGTATTGTAAATCAGTTGTTAATAAGGAAGATCGTAAGAAGGTGCTGACAGGTGGAGTAAGACTTAAGGATCAGTTTCAAATGTATGCTTTTGTCGGTGTTCACTTTCCAGTAGTCACTGCTGTCAGTATATCAAACCTGACCTCACCCTTTAGGTGACCAATAAAAATGGTTTATTTGCATTTTAGCATAGTGTTTCCAGAATAAAAGACTTCTGATTAGTCCAAAAACAAACTTTTCATGAGTCAGAATCACCAGCAATGATCATACATTATTTTGCGGACTATCTGAAGCTATTTTCACAAATCATTAACAATTCAACTTGGTCTAAATGCCTATAAGACTAGTACAACAATCTATACTTTACAATTATGTTCTCAACAGGTGGCTTCTTACCATAGCGACTTACGGTAGAAGAACCAACTCCTATGACAACTCTCTCCATCATCAATCCCACAAACTACATTTTACAACTTCCAACAAAAATCTACAAAAAACAGTATATCCAAGACTAAGACAATGAAACAAGGGAAATGCTCTCACCTTTCTAGAAGAATCGAGGAACGTCTTCTAGAGACAGATGGTTGTCAAAACGAGACACGGGCTACGGTCGTGATAAGTAGGTATATATTGCATTCTCTGATCTCTCTGTAAATCCATGGTTTCTCTTTATGGAAGTGGATTATCCACCACACCAATGAGCTGACAAGGTCATGAAATACGGCACTATCCCTCCTTCGCTGCGCTATCAGTATAAATAACCTGTCCTTCAAGATAGCCATTCTTTTATTTTGAGGATGACTTTCTCACAAAGGCTTTTTGCTTTACATGAATCTATCTATCTATCTATCTATCCGTCCACTATCTATCTATCCATCCACTATATCTATCTATCCGTCTGTCCACTATCTATCTATCTATCCATCCGTCCACTATCTATCTATCTATCCGTCCGTCCACTATCTATCTATCTATCTATCCGTCCGTCCATTATCTATCTATCTATCTGTCCACTATCTATCTGTCTGTCTATCTATATCTATCTATCTATCCGTCCGTCCATTATCTATCTATCTATCCGTCCGTCCACTATCTATCTATCTATTCGTCCACTATCTATCTATCTATCCGTCCATCCATTATATATCTATCTATCCATCCGTCCACTATCTATCTGTCTATCTATCCATCCATCCATTATCTATCTATCTATCTTTCCGTCCACTATCTGTCTATCTATCTATCCGTCTGTCCACTATCTATCTATCTATCCGTCCGTCCGCTATCTATCTATCTATCTATCCATCCGTCCACTATCTATCTATCTATCCATCCATCCATTATCTGTCTATCTATGTATCTATCTATCCGTCCGTCCACTATCTATCTATCTGTCCATCCACTATCTATCTATCTATCTATTCGTCCACTATCTATCTATCTGTCTATCTATCTATCCGTCCGTCCACTATCTATCTATCTATCTATCTATCCATCCATTATCTATCTATCTGTCTATCTATCTATCTGTCTATCCGTCCACTATCTATCTATCTGTCTATCTATCTATCTGTCTGTCTATCTATCTATCTATCTATTCATCTATCTATCCGTCTATCTATCTATCTATCTATCCGTCCGTCCATTATCTATCTATCTATCTGTCCACTATCTATCTGTCTGTCTATCTATATCTATCTATCTATCCGTCCGTCCATTATCTATCTATCTATCCGTCCGTCCACTATCTATCTATCTATCTATCTATCTATCCATCCATTATCTATCTTATCCATCCATTATCTATCTATCTATCCGTCCACTATCTATCTATCTGTCTATCTATCTATCCGTCCGTCCACTATATCTATCTATCCGTCCGTCCACTATCTATCTATCTATCTATCTGTCCATCCACTATCTATCTATCTATTCATCCACTATCTGTCTATCTATCCATCCGTCCATTATCTATCTATCTATCTATCTATCCATCCATCCACTATCTATCTATCCATCCATTATCTATCTATCTATCTATCCGTCCACTATTCGACTATCTATCCATCCATCCACTATCTATCTATCTATCTGTCTATCTATCTATCCATCCATTATCTATCTATCCGTCCACTATCTGTCTATCTATCTGTCTGTCTATCTATCTATCTATCTATTCATCTATCTATCCGTCCGTCCATTATCTATCAATCTATCAATCTATCTATCTATCCATCTGTCCACTATCTATCTATCTATCTATCTGTCTATCTATCCATCCATTATCTATCTATCTATCTATCTATCTATCTATCTATCCGTCCACTATCTGTCTATCCATCCACTATATCTATCTATCCGTCTGTCCACTATCTATCTATCTATCCATCTATCCATCCATCCACTATCTATCTATCTATCTATCTATCTATCCATCCATTATCTATCAATCTATCTATCTATCTATCCATCCATCCACTATCTATCTATCTATCTATCTGTCTATCTATCTATCCATCCATTATCTATCTATCTGTCCGTCCATTATCTATCTATCCATCCGTCCACTATCTATCTATCTATCTATCTATCCATCCATTATCTATCTATCTGTCTATCTATCTATCTGTCTATCCGTCCACTATCTATCTATCTGTCTATCTATCTATCTGTCTGTCTATCTATCTATCCATCCATCCACTATCTATCTATCCATCCATTATCTATCTATCTATCTATCCGTCCACTATCTGTCTATCTATCCATCCATCCACTATCTATCTATCTATCTGTCTATCTATCTGTCTATCCGTCCACTATCTATCTATCTGTCTATCTATCTATCTGTCTGTCTATCTATCTATCTATCCATCAATCTATCTATCTATCCATCCGTCCATTATCTATCTATCAATCTATCCACGGTAGATTGTACCTCCAGGATTGTTTGTTCAGCATTCTCCAGTTTCTTTCAGGTGCCAGGAAGGTGCCACTGTTACCTATTGTATTTAATCATAATAAAATATGTTATCCGCTTTTATTAAGTCATAAACCAAGTGGATAATACAACTGACAATAAATACTTACTTGTTCCACAGATCGGTGAGGAAATATTGTTAAATAAAAAGCTGGTTACAAAGTGGTTTATGTGGTAAAGTGAACACAGGACTTCATTCTTGCTTAACCAATTTAATGATAGTGTAAAACTTTGAGACATGGGTTGTGAATACACATTTCAATACCAGTGTTGAACAGAAAACTAAGTGATCATTATTACTTTTGATAGCCTTGTCATTATCAAATGTAAATGAGTGTGTTTTAAGTACATAAAGAGTTCATCACATAATTTTAGGCCAATTCTAATTCAGCAGCATATTGAACTTCAAAAAACTAAAAATTTAAGCCTCGGCTTCAAACATCTTCTTCCTGCCATCCATGCCAGCCTTGTCTTCAACATTCTTACGCCAGTCCCCAACATCACGCAGTTCCTTATCCTTTGAAGAGTACATGAAAGACATTTGTTCAGTTAGCCAAAAGATTAAAAGATCAGCATTTTTCAGAATTTTGAAGGTCCTTTTGGACAAAGAAATACAGGAACCACAAAGGAACCAAATGAGACCAATGCAGTTTATCGCTCACCTCCTCTTTGACCTCCTTCTTGACTTGTTTGAGGTTGGCTCTCAGATCCAGAGACACCTTGTGTTTGGAGCCCAGCAGAGCTTGAAGCATAGCGTCAGCAGACATGCGCACCTTCCTCAGAGCTGGCTTCTTGAACTTGCCCTTCAGGTCAATAACTTTGATATTCAGGTCCTCGATCTAGCGTCAGTGAATGAGGGCCATCAGTATAGAAACTACAAGACAAAACAAAAACTGTACTGGATTAAAATATAGATTACATCTTACCTCCTTTGCACTCTTGTTGACTTTCATTTCCAGGTCGTATCTCTCCTCATCATTGACATCAACTTTGTGGTGAAGCTCCCTGCAGAGTTCCTATAAACAATATATTTATTTTATTTTAGTTATCCATTTACAATGTTTTCTTTTTTTAGAAGGTGAATTTATTGTCCTTTACCTGTAATGCCTGTATGCCTGAAGGTAGAGACAGAGGCTGGCAGGTCTCCGCCATGTATCTCTGCCTCTCCACCTCTCTGTCCTTTGCTTCCTGTTCCAGTATACCTTTAGCGATGGAAAGCATCAAGCTCTGCAACACAGTGAGGCTGAGTGTCATTGTTACTCATTAATGAATATTGAAAACGTAGAATTCATTTTGAATCATATAGTACCTTCAGATGATGCTTGCGACTCGACGACATCTTTTTCCTGAGGTGTTTTGGAATCATTCAAATAAATTGTGTTAAAATCACCACAAGACACTGCACTTTTTAATTTCAATTTTTTATGTCCAGTACACACAAATATAAAAATAATCAATTTCTGATATTTGAGGAAGATGATTATAATCTATAAAGGAGAAATCAAAATATTTACTTACTCTGACATCTTGGCTGAATTTTGTTTTTGCCCCTGTGAAATAAAATACCCAGTTTACAATTAACACAAAGCACTGGCAATATAACAGTATTCAATATCTAGTAATTAATAATACATGTTTTTAATTTAATTTAATTAAACGACGTTCTAAAATATATTCATAAATTAATAAATATATATTATTAAAGTGAATTCATGAGTGTGTGTGTGTGTATGTATGTATATATGTATGCAACACTGTACTGTGACGTGAAACCAAACCATTCATTCAAGCATGTATTTTGTGCATCAATGTTTTTCATGGAAGTTATCTGCAAAATGACAACTAACCAATCTAACCACCAATCATCACTAGGTCAAATAAGGCCATAAGTCTTCTGGTCTAAAGTGAATCATATGCTATTTTTGAGCAGAAAATCTCAAGAGACGCACTGTGCTAAGCCTGTTTCTGGGTGATAATCAAAATCATGACCCCACCTCTATTCCTTCCCTCCCAATCATCTGAAACTGATCTAAAATAATCAGATCATGACATCAACTTTTTTAATGCAAACCCCTTTCTTGTGGGTTTGAATTTTTTGTATTTTTTTTTTTTTAAGTCTGAGCTTAACTTGACTGTATAACCAAATTATCAAAATTATCTGCAAGATTCACCCAATGAAAAATTTGTAATTTACTAATTTACTCCCATATTATATTATATTATATTATATTCAATATAAGTGATACGATTAAAATAATATTGAATATAATAATTAAATATTTTAAATACATTTTAATTAAATTGTACAACATGAATTTTCCTACTGGGATCAAAACAGTTATCAACTCTCTAATCTACTTTGTATCTCAGTATTACTTTCAGAATGCAAATTGCAATGCCAGGTCTAAGGTTTGACAATGAGTATCATTGTGATAATGTGAGTAAATATGTAGTAAAGGCATTTACATTTGAACTATGCCAACACCACCGATTTAAGCCATAGCATCATTGTCTAAGAGATCCCTGTGCGTCATTTTAGACCCGTCAGCTGGAGCCTAATATTTATTTAAAGATTAAATCTTGACAGCAAGATAAACACTGGCATATCACCTTCCGATCCTAAAAGCCGAATCGGATAGCGTTTTCAAAACTCAAATCAACACATTACATTTTAGGTGTGCATCTAAAAATAGCAAAGTGATTTTTTAATATACGTTTTCTGTGTTCCCAGTAAGGATGCAGCATTAATGTCTTATGACAAATAAAATTAAACATGATAATTGATTTCCCAACATATCAATGCAAGTCTGAACAAACAATCTGCAAAAGCTTTCAACATTTCTGTCACACAAACCAACTTGCCTCAAATTATGTTTACATTGAAAAAAAAAAAAAATCCAGTTAAAATCTGAAATTCCACACAGAACAATTGTCTGTCAACACCACCAGTTTTTTTCAAACTATAGTGCAGCTGGCTAAGATGCATCTAGCAATTCCAACGAAATAAAGACGTGAAAGGATAAGCAAAGGAAATACAGAGAAAACGGCATCTTACCTATGAGCTGAGGCAGACACAGCCAGAAGAATGGAGGAAGAATATGGTCTCTGTGGGAAGTGGGCATCATAAGTATATATTGTATTCCCCTATGACCAAGGAAATCCCATCTCTCTGTTTATGGTAGTAGATGCATTCAGAGAACCAATAGGCTCTCAAACACCTGAAACACAATATCAAATCCCTCATCTCCCCCTGCATATAAATAACCCCTCTTTAGATTGTGTATATTTTTAATCAAAGTGAAGCCCACACATGACGCAGAGATAATGAATATCAAGACACCAGCAAGAGCACTACATTACTGTGCTAAGCTAATAAACAAAAGGCATTTCTTGAGCTTCACATATACAGTAAAAATCGTATTTAACCTTCACTTTTACAGCAAAAGGAACAGTGCCCCACCAACAGTTTTGATTGAGCTGTGGCTTATAAATAAAAAGAAAGAAAGAAAGAGAAGAACATAATACTTATATATTGTTCATGAACAATGCTGGAATTATTATTTTTCTTCCCTAACACGTACATTCAGAAATAAGGTTTTCATAACTTAATGGGAATGTTAGCAAAAAATACTTGTGAGCTAATTTTTGTTAGCTGAGTGAATATTATTTTTTCATTATGAATAATAATTAAAATATTTGGTTAGGTTTCCCCATTGGGCGAATGTCACATACAAAATTAATAATCACATTCCCTAATTCAAATTTAAATATTCACATTCCAACTTGAAGGTACAATGGAAAGTGCAGACAAGTTTTGCATGACTAGAGATGGAAATGATGAGAAATGTAGATTCTGGTTCACTACTTGGGGAAAAAGTAATGAATTATTATTGTGAACCACAGATTACCTGCTATTCTAAGACCCCATAAGAAAGTTCCAGTGGAAACACATGGAAAAATAGCCAGGTGACATATACAAACTGACGCCATTCATTTATAAAAATGAGTTCAACTTATTGTTTAAAAACTCTAGTAGTACCACTTATAAATCTATAATAAAAAAAGCAATTTTACCTTCCATTTCCAGCTTAACAAATTAACTGGAAGGAATATGAACTGCCATTTGATCTCTACAAAGCAAAGCCAGGCAGGTCTTAAGAGACTGGAAACACTATTGCTCATTCAGTAGATGAGCTTGTGAATACATGCGGAGCAGCATATTTCCAACAGTTCTATTTTTGTTTCCAAACGGCTGGTCTGGTGCTGATGGCTACCTGGGACTCTCCCACCCCAGGCATTCAAATATAGTGGTGTAATTGGCACAGCTGTCAAACAGAGAGCAGGATGAGTGAAAATGTGGCAAATAAGGACCCTAATAATTTTGAGTCCGTTTTTAGAATTCCTATGTGGGAATGTTGGAAACAAATGTGTTTATCTTCTTTAAATAATCTCTTAAATTAGTAATGTGTCAACTGATATTTTGATAAGAATTACACCTCTACCATTACCAATACAATTAATTTAGTATAATTTAATAACTTAATCCTAATTTAACCACTGTTGATACCTGCTAGAAACCTCATTCTCAAATTAAGATTTTCATCATGCTTGTGCAAATGCATGAGTGATATGCACATCACATTCTTGTATTCCACCTCAAGCATCTTCCCTGATACCGTTGCCTCCTTGGTAAACAAGTGCAATTACATCTTTTAAGAAAAAAAAAAGATTAGTTCACTTTCAGAATAAACATTTCCTGATAACTTATGGCGCTTTTCCACTGCATGGTACGGCACGGTACGGCTCGGTACAGTTCACTTTTGGGGTATTACTCACCCCTATGTCATCCACGATGTTAATTTCTTTCTTCAGTCGAAAAGAAATTAAGGTTCTTGAGGAAAACATTCCTGGATTTTTCTCCATATAGTGGACTTCAATGGGAGCCAATGGGTTGAAGGTCCAAATTGCAGTTTCAATGCAGCTTCAAATGGCTCTACACAATCCCAGCCGAGGAATAAGGGTCTTATCTAGTGAAATAATCAGAAATTTTCTTAAAAAAAAAAAAAATTTGTATATACTTTTTAACCACAAATGCTCATTTTGCACTAGCTCAGTTTCACGCATTACGTAGTCAAGTTGGAAAGGTCACGCGTGACGTAGGCGGAAGCACCAACCCAGTGTTTACAAAGCGACTGTGAAAAGAAATTCGAACGCCTTTTCCAAAAAATGGTAAAACAACGATGTCGGACGATTTTGAAGTTGGAGGAGAAAATGAGGGTTCGTGTTTTTCGGCCTAGCCTTCCTTTTTGAACCGTAGTACACGGACGAATAACTAACTACACGTGACCTTTCCAACGTGATTATGTAATGCGTGAAGTCGAGCATTTGTGGTTAAAAAGTATATATATATATAGTATATTTTTTAGAAAATTATCGGTTGTTTCGCTAGATAAGGCCATTATTCCATACGTTGGATTGAACACCTTGGATGACATGTGGGTGTGTAAATTATCAGGGAATTTTATTCTAGGAGTGAACTAATCCTTTAAGAGCAAAAAATATTTGGTGTGGTCTTAATTTCACAAAATACATATTGAAATGGTTTATGATTATTTCACTGTTTAAATCATCATAGCTAATGTAGTATATATTTGTAACATTTGTGATATATTGATGTATTTTCAAAATTTAGTAAAGGACAAAGGTAGCATCAAAAATCTATTTTACAGGTATGTTAAAAGGTTTTTTAACATACCTGTTAAAAGGTCAATTCTTATATTACAAACAAACACTAAATATGTTGCATATTTTGATGATCTTTGGTAGAGTTTTTAAAAAAAAGTCTCCTAACCAACAGCATTGCTCCCAACCACTAGGGGCAGATATTTGTTAAATTGGGTACTAGTATCCACATTATCAGCTTACAATACCACATAGCATATAAGAGCAAAACTGTAGCCTCTTGCTAAAATTGCTAAAATATATTTTCCAAGATTCACATTTCCTATTGGAACAAATCAAACATGACAAGAAAGTCAGTGCATCAGATTCTCTTTAATATCAACATGTACAAATGCATTTTCTTCAAAAACGTGATACAGAAAATACATTGCCTCACATTATTCTGGTTTCTAACGCATTGAGAATGTTTTCTAGGCCAATAAAGTTAACCTGAGAGTTCATGTTGTTAGACGTTTACAGGGCGAGATCAACCATCCAAAAATATAGATTTAAATAGGCTAATGAATAAGAATAAAGCAACAGTTAATGTTCCATTTGAATCTAAATACAGCTTTGCTAATGTCAGAAGCAAATTGCAGGCCTGTAGAAGAAGGTAATGATCACACTGATTGACGTCACCACCACACTGATTGAAGTACAGGCACTGTTCACTGTGAGCACTGCTATGAAACCTTTACAACAGCGTAATCAGATGAAACTGATCTCTGCCATACATCACAAAATTACACCAACATGGAGCATTTCCTGAACATGTCAAAGAATAAGGACAACATTTTGTCTATACCTGATGAGTGCATACAGTGTGCGCGTGTGAATGTCACAATAATCACACTGGACGAGTTCAAACAAAAGGCACCAAAACTTAGGAGGGTCTTTCTTCACCAAACTGCGCACTAAATATCAAAATAGAAGAATCACTGCTGACGAGCATAAGCCATGTGAAATATATTTCCCCTTAAGCACATGTACGTCACCAAGACACATTATATTTGTGTGCAGACGTCAGAACAACAGCAGATTACTATAAACTTGAAAACATAAATGTTGCCGAAAACGTTCCAATCTACACTAGAAGCAAGCAACGTGTTGCAAAGCGACAAAACTAGATTGATCACATTATAATCAACAATATATCCATAGATTATAATGACAGCTATCTATCTTGGTTGCATTGGTCGCTTTCATTGCAAACTAGGTGTATATCTGAAAGGGAATATGTAAAAAAAAATTTTTAAAAACACTGCAAACTAGCAGTAAATGAAAATGCACACATTCAAGATGTCTCAGTGACGTACATTTGCTGTCAGGGTTGTTACATTTTTCTAAATGGCTAAATCAAAATACAATAGAAACCATGGAACAACAATTATTATAGCTAAGCATAAACATTATCGTAATAAAAATATTCTGATCTATATTCACTGCGCAACATTAAATCAAACTAAGCCACGTTTCAGCAAAACTTGTGCATTTCCTTGTGGTTAGTGCAATATCAGGCCTTTGCAATTGAGCATTGCTCCACAACTCGGTTTAATTCATTTTCCAAATACCAACACTCCATAAAAGGTATAAATTGGGCCAGTTCCAATGCTTTACACGATCACAAAATTCACATTGTTTCCAAGCACTGAATTATTTGATCAAACATGTTGAATATTACACATTTAATAAAAGACACTTAACCTAGTAAATTAAATGTCTCCTCATAGAGGACTACTCTTACTGTGCATCTTTCGACCCTGGTTAAACACAGAGAAATATCAACCAACTGTCAAATGAATAAGGAGGCCAACAAAGGTTATGCTATGTACTGCCAGATTCAGTGATTAATCATGTTTAGTCCTCAATTTGTCCTCCGAGTGCTTGAGATGTTTAGTTGATATAGTACTCCAGTTTGGCGTTTCAGCCTCAGTAGTGGTGTTTGCAGCCATATATGACATCGTTTCGTCTCCTGAGAGCTCCCACTAACTTCTTCCTCAGCATAAACCTGCACAGCATGGCTATGTACCCATGTGAAGAAGAATAAACAGGAGATATATTCCCAGACAAATCTCATTGATTAGCAGCTGCACAAAGCATGTTTGTTCTTGTTTCGTTTAGCCAGAAGCAAAACGAATGACTCAAATTCTCTTTGTTTTGCTAAAATGTACACTGAACAACTTAAAGTAAATTTTCACAGTTAGTACTCACACCATGACATCCAGCTCAGTTAAAACAAACAAAAAAAACTGCCTTTCACTGTTAACAGAGGAAATAATGTTTAAAATAAATGCACAAACTACAAAACGCTCAAATAAAAGTGAGGCTCCCCAAGGTTCGCTATCAGGTCCAAGCCACTTTTCGAGAGATGGCCTGTTTAAAGCACTCTGGGTCCGTGTTCCCACCCGGTCTCAGAGCTCTTTCGAGACTTACCAGAACATTCTGATGGGACTCGCGAATGTTGACCGGGTGTTTGGCTCTGAGCAGCTCGTAGGCGGCAATAAGCCTCATATTTTGTTTGACCATAAGGTACTGAATAATGCAAGTGGGGGCGAGGGAAAAACCATCACGACAATGCACCAGCACTCGCTTCCTCTTCTCCGTGGAGGCATCGATACACTCATTGATGTGATCGAAGCAGCGATGCTTGAGTGCCAGCCCTTCTTGGACTGTGTCCGGAAGGTCACTTATGTCCACTTTGAGCCGAGACCAACTATGCTTGACGCCCCTTGAACAAGTGCAAGGAATGACTCTCAAACAAGTCTCCCCGGGCAAGCTGCTCATGTCGATGATACTGTCGATATTATTGCGGCACAACGTACGTCCGCTATAAGCCGCGTTCAGGTTTCCCACATAAATGTAGTCTGTAACCTTCGATATGACCGGTTCTGAGTACTGGAAGTGCTCAGGGACGCTCTGCTTGGGTTCTGGAGTCTCTGGGCCCGTTTTAGCACTGCCGGGACCAGCTCTGCGACTGTAGTTGCGCATTTTCTTAGATCCAGAGCGGGAAGGTGGATTGGAGTCAGACTCAGAGCTGCTGTTCCAAGGTGGGGAGAAGAGTGAAAAGCGACTAGAGGACTTGCTCTTGGTGAGGTGCTCCACCGGACTGGAGCTGGTGGTGGAGCCAGAAGCGCAAAAGAGAGACGCTCTTTCCAGGGAACCTGTGCTGCTGGCTGCTCCAGCACTATGGGCCTGCTCCATCTGACGGATAAAGTCACACATTAAGACGGGTAACTCAAACTGAACCTCCAACAAGTTACGAGCAGCTGACTTGAAAGCACTTCCACCTACCTGAGCTTTGAGGTTGTTCTTCCATTCCTGGGTCTCCAGAGCTTTGAAGCGTCCATTGCTGTCAGAGGACACTGAGAGACACAGGGGCCGATGGGTCCTGGGGGGTAGCTGGGGCGTCAGGGCCATGGCAAGCGGCCGGGAGTCAGGCTGCTCGTTCCTACTCATCAGATCGGGACAAGAGCCTTAGATACAAATCAGAGGGTTTGAGGTCAATGAACAGATCTTTTACCTCAAATTTAGTCAAACACAGAAAAGTTCAAATACCAGAACAAAAGCAAGAGAATGTGCTTTAAAACAAAGTTTACTTAGTTTAATAACCTTCATGTTTGATGTAAAGGGGTCCATATGGATGCATTAAAATATGCATCTAAAATTTGGTTCCGAGTAAACAAGATAATTGGATAGATACAAGACCAATAAAAATTCAGTACGCAAAAAGGGAGGATTTTCTAAAATCATTCCAACAATGCAAGTCACTAATCTAGACACTTCTCAGATCCCAGAGTAATGAGTAATTATTTTAAAATCAAATAATTTCAATCAATGTGCCCAATCATTTAAATCAGTATTTTTTTTCCTATTACTTCTGCTCACTGAAAATGTACAAAGGCCACAAGGTTTAAGATGTTCTATTGACATGTTGATGATTGTGGGCATTATGAAATCTCCCAAAGCAAAACAAGAGTTCCACTTCAGCCGTGTTCTTAAGTGCTCAACAGGCTGATAAGGAACTGCCCTTAAGTTTCTCCCTAAAAGGCACCTGTCTGTCAGCGAGTGTGTGTGATTCAATGAGGACGCTCATTAATGGAGCTGAGAGTTTGTTTGATCCAGGAAAACACGACTCATGCATTAATACACCCACATATCTCACTTCAGACAGCCATTCCATCGTTTTATTGTTCCGCCGATTGACTGTGTGCATGTTTGTTAACACGACACAGCGCTAAACAGCAAATCTGACGAAATCTGCCTGAGGATTCGTTCAGCTGCGACTAAATTTGAAGTATCTGCACATTAGTGAAAATAAACAACCATTGTCAACAATGCTAAAAGACATTCAGACTCATGCAATAGTCAATTACATTAATTACAGTTCCATACAATGAGTTATTTTAAATAAATTTGCATTTACAAGCACATACAATTTGTGCCACAGATTCTCATGAATATGATTTTTTATTTCATGTTTTTTTTTTTACATTTTAATGTTTTTTTTTTTTTTTAAGATTTCTTTAATAAATTGTAATAAGACTTATTTCTTTCAATTTACAATTAATCATTTTGCTAAATCAGGTTTGAATACCTATGGACAACATACTAAAAAAGATAGTTAACAGAAATAAACTTTTGTTAGACAGTGACATACACAGTATATGAATGTCATAACAGAAAATATGTGATGATGTCCTGAATAATCCAGAAAATTTACATAAACACATACTGTAATGCTTACCAGTGGCACATGCTGAACGAGAAATTGGCTGGAGCTGCAAACGATTGCGAATCTTGAGAGAGTTGAGCAGATTTTTTGCAATCATGCCTGAATAAAATAGCCCAAAAGAAAAAAGGTTTCCTGAAACAGAATCAAAGCACCAGCAAAAAAAACAAGATCTTGTGAAATCAAAATTGGAGTCTTGTGGTTTATAGTCCATGTCTGCACTACAAACATTCATCCAATCAAATTAAATGGGCTCTAGAAAATACTGGTTTACAGCTGTGGTGTAAACCAAAGGCTATTAATTAATTTTATTATTTAAAAAAAAAAAAAAGTTTAAATCACAAACAAAAAAGCGAATCAAAACAAAAAAAAATTACTTCAAGAGGTGTAAAGTTTGATTTTTAGGAACATAATTCAGAAGCTTAAAATGTGTACAGAAAATGCAAATATGCTGGGTTTCCACACCTTCTGACCAATACATTTCTTCCTAGTCATGTGACATCACTTAATTCACAAAATCTAATAAACGGTAGTCAATGATATACTCAAAACTGAAATTGTAATAACTTTTGTAGGAATGATAAAGTTATCAATTATACATTATAAAATAAAAAATAAAAATTGCATTAATTTCCATGACTTTTCCAGGCTTCTTCCATTCCCTGTTATTTCCATGTTTTTCATTGCCATGGAAACCTTTTAACATCTCAGATTTACAAAATATGAGGATGCAAAGTTTAAAATAAATAAAAATATCAGAACATGTTATTTTACTATAAAATGTAACCTAGGGTTTTGGAAGTATTAAGAAATTTTCAAATAATTTGCAGTGAAAAAATCTATAATGAACAAGACAATACATGTAGCCGACATATACAGTAAAAAAAAAAATTTAAACCTTTTCCAATGTTCTTATTTTGTAAACGGTTACCTACGTTATGGTGTTTTGCGTGACATTTTATGTTGTTAATGTTTGGCATTATTTTAGCATTATGCATGTTACCCTGATATTGTTTTGTGCTTGTGGAAAGGTTTATGGTTTAAAACAGCACTTCTGATTAACTGTAATTCATCATCTGGCCTTCTATTTAACTTTTTGTTAATAATTATGGTGATCATCAATATATTTTAAGATGAGCCGTCCGAGAATGTTGGTATATTTATCAAACTTATTGCCTAAAACTTAGTCCATATTTATATTTTTACAATGCTTTTGCTATAGTACAGTTGCTTTTGTGCATTTTAGCATAAATTTGACCAGATGTATTAACATTAAAGACATTTCAAAGACACAATCCTTATTTCCAAAAAGGCCGGTTTGAAGCAAATCTCACCATTTTGTTTGGACTGCGCTTTCTTATCCAGCTGATGAGGTGCCATGATGTCTCTGCTCCATTTTTCCAACGCTTCCATCTTCCACCCCCTGTAAACAAGTCAAATAACATTTCCAAAGCCATGTATTTCTCATCCTGAGTGTTGTTTGCAGTGTGAGGCATGCATTTGCTGGTCAGATGTGTGACTGCAGTGAAGGGACAGACAGACACCCCCGCACTCAAGCGTTCCAGGACTTCAGTCTGCTACACAAATATATATATATATATGGCGTGATTTCACAATCAAATGCTGGTTTCATGCCGCCGAGCGCAGGCATGATTATATAAAACCACAGTGAATGGCTCGGGGAAAAATGAGCACTGCGTTAAATTAGCGTTTATGTCTCATCAGATGTGTTTGTGCAGCTTCATCCGGATGGATGTGCGGTATCACTGCATGCACGCGACGCAAAACACCAGCGAGCAACAAACAGAAGATACACATACAAGACATTTATAACATTTGTGAGCAGAAAATATATTAAAAACATAAGATTGTTTAAACAAACCCCAGCCATTCATCTTAGCAGCGCTCAGCTGAATGAAGCTCACGTGGACAAATGACGTCACAGAAGCGACGCGCTGCGCTTCATGGGAAATGTAGTTCTTATGTTCTTCTTCTTCTTCTGTGGGTTTATTGGCGAGTTGCATTACCAGCTTTTCAGTTGTTATGTTTTGACTGACGTGGGTAGTTGACGAAAAACATCTTGAAGAGAATTTAGCTTAAAATTATATTAGTGTATATAGGTAAGTGTGTATTTAGTTGCTGATAATGCCCCACTATTAGTGAATGATGACCGAAAAGCTCATCTTGAGGTAAATTAACTGTCTGGAGTGGACACAGTAGGCTAACAACGAATAAACACGTTTTCGCAGCCTTAAAATGAACAAATAATATAAACCTGCAAAAGAAACTGTGACTGTGATTTACTGTGATGTGTGAAGTATAAATAGTAAACATCGATTTAAGATTGTTTAAATAGTAAAGAAGTGTGATAGTGTAAATTTGTACAAGAACAAATATTATATTTTCGCCTCTCAGTGAGCTAAAAAAAAATGCAAAAAAAAAAGTTAAACATATAATGAAAGTAGATTTATTATTTTTGTTTTTCTGTTGTTATTATTGTTATTATTATTTGTGTTTCTTAAATGTTGATTTTTAATTGATTAAATAGTAATGCAGTGTCACAGTACAAATACAAAGTACAAATATTCATTTTCAGCTAATAGGCCTACTTTAGTAGTTAACATGAGCTCATGAAATACCCGCAAAATAGGAAAACATGCTAGATGAGCTCAAAAAAGTTAAATATTGACAGTAGTTTGCTCTTCTATGATTTGGGTGTGTGTGTTTTTTTTTTACTGTTTAAACGTGGCCTATAGGAATAGTCTGTTTAATAACAGGCTTCACTGTGACAACATGCCCGACTATTAGGGAATCATGTCAGAAAAAACTCATCTTGAGTTAACTGTCTGTGCAGTAACAATGAAAACGTTGAAAAGTTTCAGCAGCCTTTAAATGAACAAACTTAGAAATCTAAAGAAATAGTTACTGTAGTAAAATGTATCTTCCCTTATAACACAGTACTGAATGATTAACATATTAACACACCATAATTTACAGTAGTATAACCACAGTACCATGTAGCACCAAGATACTTTTTTGCAAAGCACTGTACAAAAGAAAGAAAACCTCTCGAATAAACCAACCTCATACCTTGTTTTGTTGCTGTTGCAGATGCTAGAGTCAGAAGGCTGAAACCGTTTGTGACGGCTTGTTATCTGTGCTCAGGATAATCACAGACAGCTTCAGGCTGCTGCAAGTATCCAAGAAAACCCCTCCGGATCCTGACGTCACACGCTGCTCTCTAGTAACAAAACTACACCGGTAACGCCATTCACTATTTCACAGCAAGTCTCCTCATTCAGAATTGGAAAGCGACAAAATAACTGTTCAAAACAGAAATGAACTAGCAGCCTTATTGTAATTTGAGAGTTTGATGTCAACAAAGCCAATCAAAATTTGACAAAAAATTGAATGCATTGACAACGGACATGTCACTTAAATGGTTTTTCAATGGCTGCCGATGCGTTTCATCCTCAACAAACGTTATAATAATGAGACCGCTTGGTAACGGACCCTCATAAACGCTGGATAAAATGCGGCCCAACACCAGTGGGTGGTATAAGGCTTTATTTACATAACAAAGTGTTGAATTACTTATGACCTGGTTGTCTCATCGGCTCAAATCCCACCTGCTTCAGAGGTGTGGTCTCCTGACCACAAAGAACAAGATTTCCGTTAGAGACGCGAGACATGCAAATGAGAAGATGCGTTTTATAAAGGTACTTAGGACTAAATAATTCATAACTGGATTACCTTGTATGGCTGCATTGCAGCTGAAGTGTACTGGACATGCGATGTCCGTTCTTGCAGAATCCAATTCAAAACACACACATAAACAATTTTCAAGAATGATTTCTGAAGGATCATGTGACACTGAAGACTGGAGTAATGATGCATCACAGGAATAAATTGCATTTTAACATGTTGCTGTTTTAAATTGTAAGAATATTTGATCCAATAAGCGCAGCATGGATGTATCCAGCACAGCATGGTGAGCTAGTAGGAATATTCCTTTGATCGGAGATGAAAGCTGCACTCTGATCTCTAGTAGTAAAGGAGACTCTAAAGGTCGTGTCAACAGTGTTTACTGTCTCTCTCTGCTGATCATAAACCTGCTGTGTGCTTGCTTTTGTGATGGCTAAGGGAAATGGAGAATGGAAATTGCTTCCAGATCAGCTGTAAGTGCTCTATATTGTTCTTTTCTATCGAGCCATTTTTGTTTGGAGTGGCTCAGGCTGTGCAAGAAAATACATGCATAAAAGAATCTTTCATAAGCGATGGTAAGTCTCATGTGCTCATCGAGTCTGCATTTATTTGATTATGAATACAATACAAACAGTGATATTGTGAAATAGTATTACATTTTAAAATAGCTGTTTTCTATTTGGATGTACTTTAAAATGTCATTTATTGCTGTGATGCAAAGCTGAATTTTCAGCATCATTACTCCAGGCTTCAGCGTCACATGATTCACATACTGTCAGTGTCATTTAATGCATCCTTGCTGAAAAAAAGCAACGTTAACTTCAGATGTATAAAACATTTAAAAAGTAAAATTTAAATAAATAGATATTTAAGTTAAATAACTATGTATATATTTATAATACCGCAGGAACTGTAACATTATAAAGACATTTTTTTGAACTGGGCCAACAATTCAGCAACTGCACAATAACTCACTAACTCAGAACACCTTAGTTAACACATACCAATTCAGCCATTCTTGTATCATGGTAGCAAGTTTCAAATGAGCTCGCATTTACTTCAGAAAGTGCAAAAAAAACAAAAACTTTTTATTTGTGTAATGGCAATTTTGAAATGCTTTGGTTTCATTCATTTTATACAAACAGAACATACATCAATCAAAGAAGGTACAAAAAGTGCCCAACCATTCTCCTGTGTGCTTGTTGATTACAGAAAATAATGAATTCTGAATTATACATTATACATGTACCTGAGTGTTTAATACATGACTGTGCAAAAGCAACTAATGAGTTCTCCAGCCTTTAGCATTCTGTAAACTTGCTCAATGGAAGAAACCTCATTAAAACGTTGTAATTGGCCCACATGTGTGCTGACAGCCTGATATTCACACCCTTATGCTTACTGTAGTCACAAGAGAAATCAACATGCGCCTGTCTGTGTGTGTGTGTGTGTGTGTGTGTGTGTGTGTGTGTACCTACACTATAAAAAAAAAATCTCCAAAAACCTCCCTTTGGGGACGTCCTCATTTGTAAAACAGGTATAAAAATAAAGTAAACAAAGTTTTTTTTAAATGTATAAATGTAGAAAGTTTTCTGTGAGGGGTAGGTTTAGGTGTAGGGTTGGTGTAGGGTAAATAATGTTCTTTTTAGCAGCATCATATGACCCCTTTAAGAAGGTTTTGCTGGTTTTAAAAGCATGTTCAGAAATTATAGGACACATAAAAGGAAAATGACGTAGCACCAAACACTCATCCAAAAACCCAGTAGGCAAATAATATAAGGTGCGCTGATCCAAAAAATACAAAGATGAAAGAGATCCGCAGCCCAAAAGGCTTATTTCATTTATTGCTCAGAGGTCACAAAAATGTGCAAAAAAACTGCAGAACGTTTTCGGGTATTAACCCTTCCTCAGTACCATGTGCTACCAAGCAACACCTGCGCTCATTAAAACACGTATTACCGTAATACACCTAATATCACGAAGATACAAAAAAATACACATATATATCTCAAACATGTAACAAAGCAAATACATTTACAAATCATCCAACATATCCATAATATCAATAAAGTTTACATAGAAATATATACCAATACAAATCTCATGACTCAAACAAAAGTTCTCAGCATCGGTTTTTATATACAATAAGTAAATATCATACCCAAGTACTCTTTAGGGTCCCCCATATATATCCTTAAATTATTATAAAAACATCTCATCTCAAACATCTCAACAAAATGACGAGCCACGGGAGATTTTAAATCTTTCCTCCTAATAGCGCTCATATGCTCAATGAGCATATCCTAATCTGTCTATTTGTCTTACCCACATACTGTTTTATGCACAGACAAGATAACAGATCAATCACATTAGAAGCACATGTGACCATTGGTTAATCTTATATGTGCGATCAGTTATACAACTCCGAAACTCAAAGCATCTTTGGCATACATTTTTACATGCCGCACATTTAAGACAAGGATAAAAACCAACATCCCTACTTACGCGCCCATCAATACCATCCTTGACATAAGTATCCGATTTGACTAAAAAGTCCTTAATATTCCTCGCTCTGTAATGAGAAAAAAGGGGCAGATCTGCAAAAATCGTTCTGCCCACCGAATCACTGGATAGTATATGTTTCTTAATCATTTCTTTAATGGCATTACTATAAGTATAGAGTATGTAGTAGTGGATACTACAGAGTGAGATTTATGCTTAGCTCATCTACAGACTTACATTTCTTACCCTCTCCAAAGCGTCATCTACCACTTGGATAACCCCTAAGTCGAAAACGCTTATACATCTCAACCGTTTTTTGTTCAAAATCAGATTCAACACTACAAATGCGTTTCAAGCGAAGGAACTGAGTGTAAGGTAACCCCTGCTTTAAATAAGATGGGTGGGCACTCGACGCATGCAAGATGCTGTTTTTATCCGTTGGTTTAGAGTACAAAGTTGACGATAATTTTCCAGATTCCAAAAGGACTCTCGTGTCAAGAAAAGCAACTGAGTGGGTGTTGATTTCTACATTCAATTTAATGGACTCGACCTTATTACCGGTATTTAACAACCTCACAAAA